GTCTCATACTTTGGGGACACTCTGCAAATGTCTCAGATGCCCTGATTCTTCAAAAAAAATTAATTAGAACCATTTGTCAAGCCAGGCCTGGAGATCATAGTAGATGTCTTTTCAAACAATTGAAGATTCCTACAATTATTAACTTGTATATTTATCATGTATTAATATTCACAAAAACAAATCTAAATTCTTTTTTTATTAGACGTGAGGTACACAATCACAATACCAGGAATAAAAACAAACTTGAAATCCCGCAACATAGGTTAACAAAGTTTGGAAATTCTTACATGGTAAATTGTGTTAAATTTTTTAATAAGCTTCCCGATAATGCTCACACCACTCCTCTTAAAGGCTTCAAAACCAAGATATATCAATGGCTTCTAGACAATCCATTCTTTACTATTAATGAGTTTATGGCCACCAACATAGATAATATATTTTAAGTTTTCAAATTAATGATAAGCATTAACTTTTGTTTGTTTGAATGAGGTTTACCAATTTTATTAATTTAATGTTTATGAAGCTGTTGTTTGGGTACTAGGCTGGAGTTGCAACTTTAGTTTTAATTTAAATATATTTAGATATTATTGATGATTATTATCAATATTATTGATATTATTTGATGTTATTGACTGTATATATTTATGTTGACCATGCCCATCTCATGTAAAAATGATCAACGGCAATAAATATCTTATCTTATCTTATCTTATCTTATCTTATCTTATATAAATATATAAATATATACCCCCGCCGCAGCAAACCTGCCGTCTAAGCGAATTTCCATTTGGCTGAATTGATTTTCAATCGATCTATTTAAATAACATTAGGTTTAACGAGTACCAAGGTTTGCTGCTACAAGGAAACTAATAAAGTGTGTGTTTTAAGTAAAATAATTATTGCTTAGTAGAAAATGAATATATTTGCCAAGTTTGATCAAAAGATATCCATAAACAAGCAAACTACAACATTTTACAATATTCTCCATAAGAATAACATGGGAATTTAAAATTTACAATTTTTTTAGTTTTCTCCGTAACCAATAACCGTACAAAAACACTTTGATATACTGAATTGTTTGTTTTTTTAAGCTCTTTAAGAAGGTTTAGAGAAAAATTGGGAAATTTTGTGTTTTGAGGGTCAAAAGTGAGAAAAACCAATTTTTACCCCATAAAACCCCCCATAAAACCCTGTTCCCATGGTCCGATCATGCTGGATCGCGAACTCATTCAAGTTTATCCCGCCTTACACCTTCAAACCAAATTTCATCAAAATCGGATAAAAATTACTCAAGTTATCGTGTTCACGGACACATATACATATAAATCTATATATATATATATATATATATATATATACAAATTTGAACGAATGGTGTTTTTGGCCTCTGGGGACATCAAAATGAAAAAGTAAATCGGTCCCGAGCCTAAGTCTTACCATGAGACCTACGGTAATAGCTACTTCCCTATAGGGAAATTCGCTAATAAACATATAAATATATATATATATATATATATATGAATTTGAACGGATGGTGTTTTTGGCCTCTAGGGACCTCAAAACAAAAAAAAAATCGGTCCCGCGTCCAGGTCTTACCATGAGTACTACGGTAATAGCTTATTCCCTATATGGGAAATTCGCTAAAAGTGGGTATTTACTCAGGGGAGGTATAGATGAGCCTACGATGACAGCTGTGGGCTTCTCATTAGATGAGGGAACACCATTACCGTAACAATACGGATTGAAGCCATCGGCCTCGGTGGTCTAGTGGTTAGCATGCCGGGCTGATATGCTGAAAGTCCCGGCTTCGAATTCCGCTAGTGGCACTAACTTTTTGTCAGATTTTTTCATTACCAGCAAGTTTGGTTGGTTTGGTTCGGTTATGACAGTTTAATTTTATTGGTATTAAGTCATTATAAAATTTTAATTGAGCAATTTCTAGTTTTATTTAATGAACAGAATTATTTTTTCTATTAGTAAACTTTTTTATATTATTTCATTATCAGCAAGTTTGGTTAGTTCTGTTATGATGGTTTAATTTTATAATAAAAAAATTAATTGAGCAATTTCTAGTTTTATTTAATGAACAGAATTATTTTTTCTATTAGTAAACTTTTTTATATTATTTCATTATCAGCAAGTTTGGTTAGTTCTGTTATGATGGTTTAATTTTATAATAAAAAAATTATTAAATTGAATTTGAGGCATTTATAATTTTATTTTATGAACAGAACTATTTTTGCGATTAGTAAACCTTCATTGCCAAAATGCTCTATACTACAGCGCTGTTCATGGAGGAATTTTTAACTAATGCCTCAATCGTACCTCCCCCTAAGTCAGACCAGACCCCAAAAAGTGTGGTTCCCAAATGTGAGTCATTAAAATAGGTATGTCTACAGGATAATTTGTAAAAAACTGGTGGGGCAACGCAACATACATACTAGTGATGTGTCAAAACCATCAAAACTTAAGAAAATTTTTGAGATTCGATAGGTGAGTTTCGAGATTCAAAAGTTTCGAAATTGAAAATTTTGGCACTTTTATTTTTGAAACTGCTGAGATTTTTTGTGTCATTATTATTGTTTTTAACACTATGTTTAAAAACAAGCTGGTAGCAATGGAGCAAACAGATCACCATTAACACTAATGAAACAAGTAAATTGTTTTCTTAGCTGCAAAAGGCATATCTTAAATACTGGAACAACTTACAATTCAGTTTCATATGAATATTTATAAGAAACAAAGACATTTTTATTAACCACTAATGTTCTAATTATTTATAAGTACCTGGGGACCGAGCTTTGCTCGGAAAAAATCATTAGTTCACTCTGAAAGCAGTCTTAGTATTGGAGATACATAAATCCACTCCCAAACTCCACACGGCTCGCCTTTACTACGTCCTACACCATTTCCTACGTCATGGACCTGTTTCCCTCCATTCCCAAAGCACTTTAGGATTGTAGATACCTTAATCTAATCGTTATTAACAGTTCCCACACCCCGGACAGCTCGCCTTGACTACTTCCTTCACCACTTCCTACGTCGCGGACCTGTTTCTTCCCTTCCCATAGCATTTTAGGATTACAGATACCCTAATCTTATCGTCATAAACAGTCCCCACACTCCGGACTGCTCGCCTTTTAACTATATCCTTCATCACTTCCTAAGTCACGGACCTGTTTCCCTCTATTCCCATAGCATTTTATAATTGCCTTTACTACTTCCCTCACCACTTCCTACGTCGCGGACCTGTTTCCTTCTCTTCCCATAGCATTTTAGGATTGCAGATACCTTAATCCAATCGTCATAAACATAGATCCCAGACTTCGCACTGCTACCCTTGACTACAATGTATCGAGTAATCTTTAGTATAATCTTTGCTAGATATTAACAAGTGATGTTTTTTCTTTTGTACTGTATTTGTAATTTGTTAGTATACGTGGTATACTGTGGGTAGTTGGCTTATTATGAACACATGCTACAACTTCGAGTCTGTTGTTTACTTTTTCCTTGTTATTTAATTCAGCCAACATGGTTACCTAGCAACCCATAAGACTAATGTTAAAAAATGATTTTCAGTTTCATTTTTCTACGTAATTAGATTTTTGTTGGCAGTTCTAACTGCAGTAAACTCTTTTTTAGGCCAGAAATAAACTGTATACAACATTTGAAGAAAATCGTCGGAGCCGTTTTCGAGATCTTGGTGCAGGCATACATACATACATACAAACATACAAGCAAACTTTTGCTCGTATTAGAGTATAGGATATCATTACAATTTCATATCATCTGATGATTTAATTTAATATCAGGAGTTTAATTTATTTTAATGTTAGTTGTTTATAAAAAAACAAGAGGTACGGTTGTACCTACTTACTACTACTAACTTACTTACCTACTTAATTAATACTTTTCAATGAAATACGACCTGTTAAAGATCGGTGACAACCTCTTGGAACGAACCACATACATGGTTTGTTAATCTCATATTCATCGTGTTCACTGTCCATTCACCGCACCTCTTTAAAGATCATAAGAGCAAATAATTGTAAATTAAATAAAATGTAAAAAAAATAAATAAATAAAAATAAGTAAACAAAAATGTAAGCAAACAAACAAACTATATTGTCAATTGCATTGGCCAGCTGTTGTTCACTAAATTAATCGAATAACGCTAACTTCCAAAACATGCAAGGCGTAGCCCTTTTTAAATCAGCCTGTGGGGCAGAGCCCTTAGGGAGTTTGTCCATATCAATACTTTTCGGCAAATCTACACACTCGTAAAGCTTCATTTTGATATGCCATATGCCATATATCTGGTAAATGGCCTTAACCGTTTGCATAAAATTTGATTGTATCACTTTAATAATATTAAATAGATTATGTTGTTTTGGGTTTGAAGTTTATCTGCCACATTTATGTTATTATTTCTGGATCAGGAGTCAATCTCTTTCAGTTTTGATCAAACAATCATAATGAAAATGTTATCATTACCTGTATTTTTTGGGTAACTAAAAAGTTTCCCGTTAAAGTATTGAGATTTGGGATTCGATTTTTTAAGTTTCGGTTTTGGTTTCGAGATTCAAAATTTCGGGTTTTGACCATCACTAATACATACCTATGTAAAGCTAACAGTGAAAAGAATGAAAGTATTTAAAATACTTTAATACTTTATTCTGAAATGGCGACCATACGAATGTAGCCCAAAAATTTATTAAGCCAAGTATGTATATATGGATATGAGTATAGCAGGATGAGCTGGACAAAGAGCTGAACTAGTATAAAAATAACTAACCTTTGTTTTATCTATTGCTGAATTTAATTTTCTTATCAAAATTTTACAGGATATAAAAAAAAACAACAAATATTATAAACCAAAAATATTTAGTCAATTTATTACAGAATGCAAAGTTAATAATCCACAGGTTTTTTTACTATGATCTTTCCTTCTAGACTGTTATTAAATTGTTGTCATAATCAGCTGAGCCTATAACAACACATTTGCCTGTTGTCTAGCAACTTAAATTATAATTGTGTTCTAAGAAAAAAATTGTAGAATCAAAATTTATTCAGGTCAATTAAATTAAATATTTTAAAAGTAAATTAGCTTTCTCAGTAGATTCCTGGAGAAATGGCACCTGTAGAATTCGGCTTAGAGCAATACCACAATGAAATGAATCTTCAACCAAGCAGGAAGCAATTGACAAAATTCCTGGAATCGCAAGGGTACAAGTTAGGGCCTACTGTCGGAGAGGGTTCTTACAGCAGGGTCAAGTCGGGCATCAAGATTTGTCCTGATGGGACCATTGCAAGAGTGGCCTGCAAAGTTATAAATAAGAGAAAGGCTTCCCAAGACTTCATCAATAGATTCCTCCCAAGGGAGATAGAAATCATCCGGAACCTTGAGCACCCGAATTTGCTGGGAGTCTATGATGTGTTTGAGAGCCCAGACCAAGTGTTTATCTTCACTAACTACTGCGAAAGAGGAGACCTTCTTGACTACATCAAACGCAAAGGTGCTCTCCCCAACGAGAAAGCCAAAAGATTCTTCAGGTAAGTTCAAATGGTGTTGATTTTTTAGTAAACAATTTATTTGATGAATTCCTAGTTAAAGAAAACTTCTAGTCCTGAGTGGCAACTAAAAACGATTTTCAATACTGATGTGTATATTTAGGAGATGAAAGATTGTAGATTTTGGTAACATTCCTTCAATCATTTTACCATATTGGGCTGGCAATTTTAGGGAAATTTAATATGGTATTCCTTCTACCACCTCAAGTGTGACAGCATGTAACCAATGATTGTTTTCCAGCATGTTAGTATCTGCAATCCACTACCTCCACTCTCAGGATATCAGCCACCGAGATGTCAAATGTGAGAATATATTCATTACTGCTAACGAACACATAATGCTTGGAGACTTTGGTTTTGCTCGTTCCTGCAGGGATCCAGCAACGGGGAGCCGAATTCTCAGTGACACTTTCTGCGGAAGTGCAGCATACGCGGCTCCAGAAATCCTCCAGGTGATTTTACTTATATTAGGTAAAAAAGTTTGGTCAAAGTGCTTTCGGGGGTTAAGTTATATTTAACATTATGAGTTATAACATTGTGAGTCAAAATAACTTTTGAACAATTTTGTGGATGCTTTCTGAAAAATCTCTTTGGACAAAACAAGAGAATAAATGCACTTAATTGAAATCATTATAAGCTCAGATGTAATTTTGAAGGAATTTAATAAATGCTCACTTAACAAATTTTAATTTTACTTAGAAATTTATGCTAATTTGATACTAGTCTACAGTTTTTCAACACAGATTTAGTTTCCATAACTGTTTGCAATGGCAAGGCTCTTAATCTTAAAAATGGCATCTTAATCTCAACAAAGGTTATTTGCTTTTGATATTCGACAATTTGAATTTATATTATAAAATATTGTAATGCACATCTTTGATGTCTTAACAGAGTGTTTTCTCTCAGGGTACTCCATACAACCCTAAGATGTACGACGTTTGGTCACTAGGATGTGTGTTGTACATTATGTTGACGGGAGTTATGCCTTTTGATGATTCAAATATTACACTGATGCTTCAAACCCAGCAGCAAAAACGCTTCCCAATACACCAATTCAACCTGAGGATTTCTGCCATCCAGCTTATCAAGTAAGAATAAAAAAAACATTTCAAATTATTAATGAACATGTCCATTAATAATTTTAAATGTTATTCTTATTTATTGTTAATAATTAAGAATAATTTAAATTAATAATAATAATAATTAATCCGAATTGTTATGATAAATAACTCTTGCAATACCTAACATTACAAATTATTAATAGACTTAGCAACCAAAAATTATTTACTTTTAACTAACATTTTTTTTTAAATATCCCATGAAAATATAGCATAAGTTTGATTTTTTTTTATTCAAACACTGAACAAGCTAAACTGATGATAAAAAAATGAACATTCTAAACATCCACCACTAACAAACTGTCAACCATTTCTATAGAAAAATAAGTAACTTTGTATATTGTTTCCTTAATAAAAAATTGTTTACACACTATAAATTGACAGGTAAAGGCCAAAATAGTATTTAGTAAGCGAGGAGGGGGAGGGGATTACCAAAAGAATATTTAGACAATTAGTAGGCAACATGATTTGATAAACTATTATCAATTTGTCTGTATAGCTCGAGTTAGCTGACATTAAGTTTTGTTTCAGCCGCATGTTGGAGCCTGACGTGACTCGTAGAGCCACCATCAATCAAGTCTCGCAGAGTCTTTGGCTCCACGAACAAATCAACCCCATGCTGTACACTAGAGTCCCCTATTGACCTTTGCTCTGCTACATCAGCAAATAATACAAACATAATGCTTAAATTGCCAATAAATGTTTTGCTGACTAATGTAATTTTCTATTGTGTCCAAGTACAGTAATTCAAAATTTTTATTTTGTTTTTATACACACCCAGCACCCCCAATGACATTTTTTTGGAAGGGGGCAGTCCAAACTCGCTTGTTAGTATCTAACAAAGACCTTTGGTAAGTTATAGCCTAGCATCATTAGCCCACTGACAATTAATTATGGAATCTGAATCTGCTAACGATCTCGCTTGGAGTCAAACCAGCAGTCATCAGATTTTATAGGAAGCACTATAACTACTCGTCCATCATTTTTAACATCAGACGGAGCTGCGAGTTTTACAGGCTCGTTGTTTTGCTATCTTTGTAAGCTTGGGATCAACCTTTCATCTTCAATCAAATGTGAGGCACAGGTATAGAGTGCAGTCAAAATAATCAAAAACTATATTCGAAAGGCTACGGCTACCCCAAACCATGCAAACCTCTCAAGGTGTATGAATAATTTCTTGTTTCAGTATTGCAACACACCACATACAACAACAAGTGAATCACCTGTAAGGTTGCTATCTAAATGTAGTCATAGATATTGTGTTCTTGATTTGCTAATACCTAATACTGATGACGTTGTGGAATCAAACCAATCAAAGCAAGTACTGTAATTTTAGGGGTGTTAGTTTTTAAATAGGGCAAGATGTAAATGTTCAAGATTTTCAAGCTAGTAAAGAGTGTAGTACCTTTGACTATTAATACAACAACTGTTCTGTATCCAATAGTCAATGGTAGTACCCATTTAATGGCAAACTGCGGTTGTTAGAGAAGTTTTAGGGTCTCAATCCTACAACTAATAAAAATACAACTTGGAAAATACATCATTAAGGGAAATCAAAAGGCATAAACTGTAAAATACCTTTAACCAGAATTGGTACTTTACAACACAGAGTAAGTTATACTGATTTTGATGGTATTGGGTAAAATCACAATTTTCTGATGAAATGTAAATAAATTCTTAATAAATTGTAATAAGATTACATATCTAATAAAAATAGCACAACCCTCATAGTAAAAACCCACTTGAGTTTACATTTATTTGTGGAAAAAGTTCATAAAATCAGTCTTTTATTTGGCATGTTTTTGTATGAGGTCCAAGACTTCTTTGACATCTTGGCTTGATCCAAGGAAGATGGGACATCTCTGGTGGATGGAGGTTGGTATAACATCCAACACTGCATGACTTCCATCGGAGGCGAGTCCTCCAGCCTCCTCTACTAGGTACGCCATCGGCACTCCCTCGTACAGCAGCCTCAACTGTGCAGACAGACACAAACAAACGTCAACGTCAATAGATTAATCGTCTACTGGCTAAATTAATAAAGTTAATTATTGGGAGGTTACCATTAAAAGAATCGTAATTTTGTACCTAACTGTATATGATTACATGTTGTACTGTACATGGTGTGAACAGTTTTATAGCCACAACACTTTATCACAGTAATTTACAATTTTAAGGAGATGAAAAATGTAATTTTGATTAATATAATGTACTGTACTTTACCTTCCCCTTGGGCGAGTCCTTAGTAGCAGGGTACATGAAAATTCCTCCGTACTTAAGCGTCCTGTGTACATCAGCCACCATGGAACCCACATAACGTGCTCCGTAAGGTTTGCCAAACTAGAAAAATAAACACAAAAATCATATGGGTTTATACTGCTTTCTCAAACAGCAGTTGACTAAAGATACAAACACACAGAACACAGTGCGTCTCCTCCTCTCCCATTCCCATATAATTATCACAAATTGTAAATGAAAATTGGTTTTTATGAAAACAAAAACCAAGCAATGTGTAAATTCATTAACAACATAGGTAACATTTTTGCTACTGTCAAAACAAAAAATTGGACAGTTGGGGACACGTAACGGATTTTGACGCAATCTTTAAATGAATGCCACTACATTTTACATTTTACTATAAATTTTCATGGATAGTAAAAAGTAAAACCATTATCACAAAGACCAATATCGATCACGCCTATCCAACTAACATTCCAGCAACTGATAATCAAGAAGATGTTTAAACAGTTTTTAGATGTAAAAAAAACCTTAAATCAGAGAGCAGCCGCACATTTCAGTTTAAGAAAATTTGTTTGGATCTCCTTTTGTTGAATAAAGATAGACAAATAGACTTTGTTTGTTGAAAATACCTTCTTAAGAGTGTATTGTCTTTTGAACGGTGTCAATTTTAAAACGTTGAATACATTTCAGCGACATTTTTTCAGAAAAAGTAGTATTATTTAGCAATTGATACATCTATTTGATCCATCTAATGAATGCATACAGCCAAGGCCCCACTAGAAAAAACAGGCCATGCTGCAGGATTCATGACGTCACACTAGTGTATAGATTTCATTGATAAATTCATTGTCATCACCATTCCCATATGTTTTAGGTAAATAAACAAGCTGGCAGTTTGTAAGATTTTAATGGTAAGAGTTTAGTACAACAGTACAACTATCCACCACTGTGACGTAGTGTTGCGCTGCCCCTGCTGCAGCATGGCCTGTTTTTCTAGTGGGGCCTTGATACAGCACCGCCGGTACTTATTTGAATAATTTTACTAACAATAACAATCTATTTTGGTCTCTATCATGAACTATGAATACTGATGATTTAGCTAGAATATTACCTTTGGATCTTTTTTTCTGTCCACATATTCCCTGATGGCAGGATCCCAGAGATGAGTGTAGCCTTCATTAATGCTGTAGATTTTACCTTTTGATGGTAAACGGATGTTTGGGTCGGTTAAAATAAATTCACCAATGGCCTGGAAAGAACACCAAAATTATTAAAGCATTTCAAATTGGCACTTAATCTTTATACACCTCTATCTTAAAGTTAAAACATTTTTCACAACGAAAACCTGAAGACATTCATTAACACCAACAAAACAACTTGTATTGCCTACTAACTTACCTTTAATTTGCAAAGTAATGGCTAATGTTTTTTTTTTTTTTTTACTTTTTACCTGAAAATTGGAAAACAATTCAAACACAGCTACGTCGGGAGTATGCTTTTGGGTTCTTAGAAAAGTAAAACTGGACCCATTAATCAATCATCGTTAATTCACCATTGCCTCCTGTGGTTGTGGCAACAAATTGTCATTCCACCACTGTCCCGAAGACATCACTATCAGCTCCTGTGATTGTAGCAATTTATTGACAATACATCGCGGTTGCAAAGTCATCATCATCGACTTCCGCAATTGAGGCAAAATTATGAGCATCTCTTGCGATCACGAAGATATCGTGTTGTTGCGACGAACAAATGTTGATTAGTTATGAATAGCAAAATGGTGTTGCAAAAATAAATTTAACAAACAAAGTTTTAGGGCTTCTTATTAACAAACCTATAAACTACATATCAATGACAATATGTAAAAAAATCCCCGCCCCCAAATCACAGTTACCAGGTGCGTCGCTGTCCCCCCTGATAATAAATATGAAAACAAAACTAGTAATGTTGTGTTTAAAATCTGAAGGAAATAAATAAAACAAATTACCGACCGGGTCCAACATGAAGCCGTTGACGCCAGAACCTCGGCCGAGAGCCAGCACCATCATGGTGGCCGAGCCGTAGAGTGCATAACCAGCGGCAACCAGCTGACGTCCGGACTGTAGAGCGTCCTTCTCACTTACTGGGCTCGTGCCATCTGGCCTCCTGTCACACAAACCATGCATAACGGTAGCATAATTAGTAGTTGAAAAAATATTAAGGTCTTTTCCATTATACAACTAAGTACCTCTAAATTTACCACTAAACCTTTGGCTGTCCACCCATTGGTCGTCCCAACAGTCTATGGCACTAACAGCACTAATAATGAATGTCCAAGTTAGATGTGCAGCACATCTCTGTAGGTGTTGTATTGCTTTCAACCATCAAAGATTATACCATAGTGTAAAGTTAATACTTCCATTAGATAATTTGTTGTAAGTGGTGTTGTGGTGGTGGTTGTCTTGGGGCTAGTGGGTTTCATTATCACTTGGATATTGGTGGTTTTGACATAATTTGAACTCAGGACCTTTTGGCTACCAAAGTACTCCACTAGACCATATCGCCATATCCTCATATCCCCCGTTGGAGGTCAAAGGGTCGGCAAACTTTTAAAACTACTTCCAAAATGATTCAGTTACAAGTAAAAATGTAATTATTTCATTGAACGTACTTCTTTTGTAGTAGGCCTACATATAGGTGTCCTCTCTTATCAAGTTTGTCAATGTGCATTTTTAAAGTAATCATGCTGGATTGGGTTTAAAATAGATTGTTTTTAACTCAACTTTCTCTTTAACTCCTTTTTAACTCTCTTTTTTTAACCCTTCCTTACAGATACCTTATATTTTCTTTGAGCTCATTAATTTTCTGAAAGCTTTGTTGTTTACCAGTTTTATCAAGCTCTGCACAAAACTTGTACAAATAATGATTCAGGCCTGTTTTATTCCCAAAATATTATTTAATTTATGATATTATGATTAATTTGAATTTACTTAACAGACCTGTAAATGCTGAAAATGGAACCAATTGAGACCAGGCAGTCTATGTTGGAAGACCCATCGAGAGGATCGAAACACACTATGTACTTGCCCTGTTTCTCTGCTTCAACCTGCAATAATAGTGATTATTTTAATTTATTTTAAAACTAGCAGTTACCTGGCGCACCTTGCTGTGCTAACAACTATTATTTTAAATGGTAATTTGTCCTTTACGATAAATAATATGAAAAAATGTATACCAAAAGCAAAAGTTTAATACCTGAGATGGCACACACGATTATTATTCACTTAATAATGTATGTTAGATTGTGTGGGTATAGAACAAAAGATAAAACCATTAAGGCATTGCCATCCCTTTCATTTTTATAATACTTTATTGACAAAGGTTTTTACTTTTTATGTTTTCATATTAATTTAATAGTGGAGAATTTAAACATTGTTGAGTGCACAGGTGTGCTGCGATTGGGGTTTTTAATATATTTTTACCTATCCAAAAGTAAAA